TCGGCTTGTCACTCTGAATTCCTGCATGTAGAGTGCTGTCATCAGCGAAGCTGTGGATTGGGTTGATCGTGCAGGAAAGGAGGTCGTTGATATGTAAGAGAAACAGTGTTGGAGCCAAGACCGATCCCTGGGGAACACCCGCGTTGACGTTGTGGGATGAAGAGGAGAATCCGTCAATTACGACGGATATCTTGCGGCCAGAGATAAAGTCAGCCACCCATCTGCAAAGCTTTTCTGGGAGGCCGTAGGATGGAAGTTTGCTTAAGAGGGCAGCGTGCCACAGCTGATCGAACGCTTTCGTGATGTCAAGAGCAACGACATGAGCCTCACCATTAGACTCGATGAGTTTACTCCACAGTTGCGTGACGTAAGCTAGGAGGTCCCCTGTGGATCGTTGGTGCCGGAAACCGTACTGCCTGTCACTAATCAAGCTGTGACGTTCGAGGTAGTCCAGAAGCTCGCGATTTATGCACCTCTCCATCACTTTACTTATAACAGAAAGCAGAGCTATAGGCCTGTAGTTGTAAGGGTCGGTTTTAGATCCTTTTTTGGGATGGGCTGTACATGAGCAAATTTCCAGTTTTCTGGGAAGGTGCCGGATTCGTAAGATATCTCCCGCCTGCGTGCCTCTCGAACAGAAACTTGATGAAGGATGTTTGCTTGTCGCCATCAAGTGTTTGAATCAAGGATCGACAAAGTGACTACAAGCCCTGCCATTCCAGTATTTAAAATGTTTCGCGGGAGCTGGAAAAGCGTGGGTACCGAGAAAATGCAGATTTATACTGAAAAGCTTTCAGGGACTGACAAGCTGCTAGAATTTTATCGACATGAACTGACCAAAGAAGTTGCTAGAGACGACTATCGAGAGTTAATAGAACTTTCAATAATATTCCTTGGCGGAGATACAGAGACTCCCCAATATACATATTTCAAACCAAACTATGTTGTTTCCCTGGCGGTTAAAAAATCGTTCTACCTCCCTTTGCTTGATGTTGTTTCATGGTTCTTTGACTTTTTTAGCTTCTATTCTATACCTCCTATGAGCCTTTGTATTGTGTTTCAAGAATAAATAACTATTATTAGAATTTTCAATGAACTTTCTTCCAAAATTTGACATTATACCGATTTTTGTGCCATATCGATTTTTGCGTTATAGCCCTGCCATTGTCTACAAATAGCACACAGGTCGATGTAATACTGGTTGCCAGTCAGTGAGTCCACTTTTTGTAAAAGCGTTGAACATAATATTTCATGAATTGATGACACCATTGCGTCGGAAGTGTAGAGTTAACCTAGTTCCTTGCGATTTGATACCTCCTTATAGTCAAAATCACGAAAGATGACCTTTACGTCATACCATAAATTATACTGAAGTAATCAATTGACGTACGCCGATGATAAAATCACGATGTCAGGTTATTTAACTGATTATTTTATTTTCATTTTATTTCATTGAGTGATACCTCAATAATAATTTTAGTGGGAGTTTTTGTTTTGAAAAAAAAAACAGTAGAATACCTTAAGACAGGAACATCATAGACCAAAGTATTATTCGAAAACAACCTAACCTGCTTTAACATAACCTAACTATTCATCTTTCAAATATGATCGATCATGTAACATGAAAACAGCGTCTATCTTTGTCGGATACTTGCAAATTAGCAATACAGCATGTTAAGACAATAAAATTATTTTTGTCTCTGTCTAACATATCTGAAACTTCTTTAAAATTATCCACAAATCGCTGTCGTTTGACTTTAGTAGAGACTAAAATAATGACCAGATTCGTCGCAGGGAATTATCGTACAAACACGTCCAAATTATCGTACATTCTCCTACACCGTGCCTTAGGTTCGTTACTGAATTGAAACCGGTTAAATATCGAAAATAACTGAAAACGGTGTTTTGATTTTCAAGTTTCAAAGTCATAAAAACGGGAGACGTCGCATTCATTTCATCTAATGCATATGGGTAAATAAAAATATGCGCGTCATGTCAATACGTAGAACGTGAGAACTGATTGACGGCAATTTTCCCCGGTGATGTTTGCCGAGATAGTCCGCGTCATGCTAGGCAACCCATTATGCAGAGTGGGGTTCGCGCGCTTGTCTACCAAGCGGTAACACTACGGCTGCTTGCTGGTGTTAAATGAACGTAGTTGTTAAACTCTAGGCGCTGAAGAAAGAAACTAAACCCAAACAAATACACGCATATTGCTCGTGAGTGAGTGTTTAGGCGCAGGAGACATTACAGGATATTATGGGTAGTCATCAAAAATTTCATACAAGATAATTATTATCTTTTACAGTAAATTTCAGTTAGAGATTCACAAATGAGTTAACTACACTTTTTAGTTATTAGTAAGTAAGCTGCGCGCACTCATTCAGAAGAGGAACTTGAATCTTCTGAATCGTTTAAATGAATTATTAGAGGTTCAATTTGGGTATCGATGACATTGTCCAAATCCCACATTTTGACCTCAACCTTCTCCCGAACGTGGCGGATACAGTTTTTCCATTCCTCTGCCGTAACTCTATTGACTGTGATATGAAAGAGATTTTTAACATCAGAAAATTTATAAGTATTATTATTCGACGCCACGTATTGCTTTAAGTTGGCCCAAATCAGCTCAATAGGGTTCAGCTCACAATGGTAGGGTGGCAGTCTCAAGACAGTTTTATTTTGTCTTTTGGCCATTTCGTCGATCACTTAAAATCGTATTTGTATTTATGTCTATTGACTATACTTATCAATTCACCCTTGACCATTGTTTCATCAAAATCGATCTGTTTTGAGGCCAGCCATTGTTGTATGTTTGCTTTTTTAGTTGCCATTGTGGGAATTTTTTCTATTTTTCTAGAATGGTACGGGGCATTATCCAGTACAATAACAGCGTTATTCTCCAGCTTTAGTAACATTTTGGAGAACCAATTTTCAAAGGAATTGCCGTCCATCTCCTCATGATAGTCCCCTGTCTTTTTTGATTCAAAGGCCCACAGTGCTTCGGGAACAAAGCCGTCTTCACTACCTACGTGACAAATGATCAGCCGTTTGCCTTTTCCTGGAAATAAATTATTCCTTACACTATGGATTGATTAAATTTGAAGGAATGAGGCAATTGAGTTCATTTAGCTGAATTTAAGAGTCACGGAATGCTGATCAAAAACTGAAAAACGTAGAAAATTGAAGTTTGCAACTTCTCAAAACCCATTCAAAGCAAATTGACTGCACCCAAAAATGATAATAAATTTCAAAATAACGCTTAAAAGAGGGTCGAAGTTTTTTTCCTAATGACTACACTGCGAATGCACCATTTTTGGAGAATATCACACATTATCTGCTATCACAGCATATTATTTGCCCGAATTTATCAAAATTAAATTGCCGGATAGATGAAGGAGCTTACCTGCAGGATTTTTCAATCCAGCCGAAAGACCGTCTAGAAAAGCCTGCCTTGATGATGTTACTGATTTGTCGACCCAAACTTTCGCTTGAGTATGTCCAGCATTCACCCACGTTTCGTCCAAATAGTAAATTTTTCTTTTTTCATCGCGAAACTTCCGAATCTTCCTAAGGTATTCCCTTCTCCACACAACAATTTCTTCTTTCTCTATTAACATACTGTTTCTTCCCCGTTTCAAGAATCGAAAATTAAGTTCCTTCAAAAGTTTTCGGAATGTGGTTCTTTTAAATGATGGAAGATCCTCATCAGCATTAACTAATCTTAATATCTTATCTATTGTAGGTATCTCATTTCGGAAGAAAAAATTATGCACTTTCCTCCTGATGGCAGTTCTGTCAAAGTCATCTACTCCGTCCATTATCCTTTTTCTTGCAGGATCCGGTTTTGGCTCAGGAAGTGAGTGAGTGCTCCTATATTCCTTAATGATCCTATAAACACTGGACCGACATACTCCAGAAATATGTGCTACCTTACATATAACTTCGTCCACGACCAAATCGGGTTTTTATTGAATTTGGTTTTTGTATATATTTAATATTATTTGTTTTTCATTTGCACTTAAATGTAGCTTCTTAGACCTTTTTTTGGGTGGGGTTGCGCTGATGTCAACCACTTCGTCGGCTGTATCTGTGTCAGACATCGTATCATAGGCAATATATAAACAAAACGTTCCACTCGCGAAAAACGAGTATACGCTACTGAATGCGTAATGCGTATGCAATGCAATCCTGTGCGTGAATTAACTGTTAGATGTCTGTCGTGTCATCTACAATCACGTTTACAAGTCCAAACCTGTGCAGATTCGTAGAGCGCCGACGACTGCTAGTGACCTTGAATTTGTCTGTAGATCGATGTTACTCCAGTCAATTTAGGTTCAAAGTGGATGTTTTCTAAACCAATTTGTTGTTCCTACATCAAAAATATATCGATGATGTTTTGTACTGGGAGCTCATGAAAGATCAAGGTAACTTATTTTAACAGTCATCCTTTTTCTAGTCTCAAGATGACACGAAAAAGGGTCTGTGGATTCACTAGAAATACACTGCCGAGGATGTTTAGACCTAAAGTGACTGGAGTATATCCGTGGATGCTTTCGAGGGATCTGTTCACGTGCTGATCACTGTTTACGTTTAATGTCTTTCTTCAGCGCCCAGATTATAGATTGATTCAACATCCGTGTGTAAAAAAGCTCATTCGCAGAATTATCGTACATTCAGCTATTATCCTACGCATAGTACAGTATATCGTACAGTACTTGAAATTATCGTGCAGAAACGATAATTATCGTACGTCTGGCAACGCTGATGATGACGTAATAGTCATCTTTCGTGATTTCGACTATACCCGTTAAGGCTTGCTTACAACAAAGAGGCCTCAACGAGCGACTATGCGTATCGCCCTAAGGCATACGATATTGAAATAAAGTCCTCATCACCGTGATATGTACAAATTCACACATTATAGTTATTAAAAATAGTCATCGCTAATTGTATATTTTTTCCTAATATAATAAGGAAAATCTTAAAATTTTCTATATCAGCATTTATCGTTGATTTTATCTTCTAGTGGATTCAAATACCGCTTAAAACCGATATCTCTACGATATCATAAATATCGGCTAATGCTTAAATATGATTGTGCTTAAGATATCTTAATTTACTTTACTGCTTCCTTAGCAAAAGAGTACCCGAATGTTCTTGTAGAATGTTTTCACAACAAGAAGGGAATTAACTCCATCTCCTAAGTACTTTCTTCCGTTGAACGTATTGCTATTTGGTGATTTTGTGCTAAAGATGATATCACTTGGTTGATAGCATCAAGCTTCTTGTCCATTGATCCCAACTGAAAAAAAAATTATTGATCAATTACTTAAATCAAATCCAAAAACAGAATTTTTATATCATCCACAGATATTTGGTAACATCTACTTTTATTAATTACAATACGTAACATCTCTTATTGCTGCATTTCTCGGCGTCTATGCGATGACGCACATATATAATGTTAAGACCTGTCTATTCCTATATGCGCGCTCTATGTTTAGAGAGCATATTGCGTTTATTAGTAGACTAATAGCAGCTGATTCAGTTACGTTTTCTGGGTTGAAGAGTACTGAGATGTTCCAAGTACTGTTAATTTTTGTTAAAACGGTAATTTATTGTGATCGAGACTAGCTTTATGGACAATGCCTAGAAATTGTGTAAATAGTGCGAACAGTTCTTGTTATGAGTGCGGAGAGCTAACTTTTAAATCCCAAGAACGTACTCGTGTTGAAAGCATACGAACTTTATTTTGGAATTAAAGTTGGCGACCAAGATAAACTATGGGCCCCTCATATATGTTGTAAGACTTGTGTAACGTTGTTAACAGGTTGGTTAAGAGGTGACAATCGTAAAATGCCCTTTGCGGTACCAATGGTTTGGAGAGAACCGAGAGACCATACTACTGATTGCTATTTAATATTAAAGATATTGGACCAACATTGAAACATACTGTTAAGTATTTTAATTTACCATCAGCTTTGCGGCCCGTTACGCATAGTGATGAACTTTATGTCCCAGTTCCACCAGAATCTTGGTCTTTGGATGAAAAAGACGAATCCACCGATTCTGAAAGTGGTGGTACAGAAAGCGTAAAAATTTACGATCCTTCGTTTTATCTGCCAGGATTTTCAGCAGCGCCGCATTTGAGCACACAGGGCGAATCATTTAACGAAATTATTCTTTCATCAAACTGCTATCTTAATAAGTTTCTGACTTGAATGGTGTTTTACGCTCTATTCAAAAATCGTAAAATCCTTAAGAAAAATGAAAGTTGAAGCACGTTGCGGGATAACAAAAGACGATCGAGACACGTCATACACGCTATCTTATTTGCCTTAAAAAAATGTCCTAATAATGTCACAGTTTGACAGCTGTCAAATTAACCGTTTCGGATTTACTGGCAAAAAACGAAATTCGACATTTTCAGTTTTTCGCCGATATTTCCAAATCCAATTGATCGATCGTAAATCTGAAGCCAGCTATCGAATGCTCTGGGTTTCCTCTAAAATCTTCCTTATTTAACTTTTGCTGTAGGTAGAACAGGAGACACTGTACATATAATACAGTTCTATATTTATCTATTTGAGATTGACAGAATAAAATAAAAAAAATTGCCAAAAAAATCAACTTTGGACATACATACCTACGTCTCGCGTGCTTTTAGATGGAAATGTGCTTTTTTATTATTACATTTATTACCCCAATTCCTTTCTAATGTTTTTTTAACTTCATATCTTCCCGACTTACTTGTTGCTCCACCCTGTATAATCTGGCCCCCACGGTCATGGGTTTGACGTTTCCAACCCTGTCGATACCGGCTAGGTAGCTACCTGGTTTCCCCAGGGTCTGGTCAAGTCTTCGTTGCAATTCCTGAAAAGAAGAAACAACGCGATTTTCATCAATGTCCGCACAATTAAATAAATCAATAGCGTTTATTGCCCGGCAGTTAAGGGAATCATTCACAAGACAATCCTAAGAAAAGATAGATCAGACTGGCAAAAGTAGAAAACATACAAAAAGCAGGTGATTCTATTCATAGGAAAGAACAAACAAAAAAAGGAGGAAAAGATACATACTCTAGTGAGAAATATATCATAAATTGTTTAAGTAATTCCTAGCTACTTCCCGAATGCTGTTCAAACTGTCAGCATGTATACTAAGTGACATATAAATCCGAACACCCAGTTTAAATGGTTTTATTTTAATAAAAGTTGGTGAATGTATTTATCTTACTGTAAATAACAAGTGAAACAATTTTCAGCCTTATCAGTTGGACATTCCGGTTTTTATACTGCTTTTTTTTAATTCACTAACGTTGGCGGATTTTGGTTCTTGACATCCTTTACGATCGGTACGATGCCTAGAGTACGGAGACCTGTACGATTTCGTCAACTTAGTGATTTTGATAGGGGCCGTATAGTGGGACTTCGGGAAGCTGGACATTCTTTTCGGGCAATTGCAGTTAGAGTGCAAAGAAGTGTAGACACTGTGGTTAGGTGTTGTCAGGCATGGCTTCGAGAAGGCCGTACGCAAAGAGCAAGGGGCACTGGACGCCGCCGTAGAACAACAGACCGTGAAGATCGCCGCCTAAGGTTATTGGCCTTAAGGGACCGTTTCTCCACTACCAGGTCCATTGCAAATGAATGGTTTGCAGAACACGGAAGACCTATTGGCATGCGAAGTGTTTACCGACGAATGAGAAGTTTTGGCTTGTTTTCATACCGGCGACACTGGGTCCTCCCTTTAACTCGAGAACACCGACGTAATCGCCTTGAGTGGTGCAGACAACGGTCACTCTGGGATCAGGAATGGAACAATATTGTCTTTAGTGACGAGTCTCGATTTTGTTTAGGCATGCACGATGGTCGTGCCAGGGTTAAAAGGCGACGTGGTGAAAGGAGGAATCCACAGTTTTTTGTTGAAAGACATGTACATCACACTGTTGGAGTTATGGTTTGGGGTGCTATAGCTTATGGTTCCAGGTCACCTTTAATCTTCATCAGAGGTAACATGAACGCGCAGCGTTACATCCACGAAGTTCTAGAACCCCATCTTTTACCCTAACTTGACACCCTGGCAGATCCAACTTTCCAACAAGATAATGCCCGACCACATGTTGCAAGAGTCACAATAGACTTCTTTCAACATAATGATGTCACATTGTTACCATGGCCACCAAGATCTCCCGACTTATCCCCAATTGAGCTCGTGTGGGATATGATGGGTAGGAGATTGCTTAATTTGCAACGTCCTCCTCAGACTCTAGAAGCACTTCGAGAGGAGTTGGTGGTTGCCTGGAATGAGATACCACAGGAGGACATTGACCACCTGATCAGAAGCATGCCTAGGCGCGTTGGAGAATGCGTAGCACATCACAGCACATCAATTTTATTAAAATAAAACCATTTAAACTGGGTGTTCGGATTTATATGTCACTTAGTATATATCACGATAATTAGATATGGCATTTAAAGTTTCACACATTACATATATGGTTACCTTTCAGAATAATGTTTAACTGGGATCATAGTAGTCCGATTTTCTGTAATTTCAAAAATGTTCAGGATTTTGATATTTATAAAAGTTCTGCGATATATCATTTTTCCGACATCATAGAAGTAATTTATGTGGTCAACATAACAGAAAACAGTTGGTTATGCAATGAAGTTTTTCCCGTTTGAATATAGTTACAGATAAAACTTTGACACAGTTAAAATCAATACATTATAAGTAAATTTAAAACTCACAATCCGCGAGATTCATAAAAAAAATATTATTCTCGACTCGGATGGCCAGCAGTTTAGGACGAAAAGAAAAATGACGAGAACGAGAGAACGCGTCGTTCAATCAAAACTCCCAACTTTCAGCTGCTCGAGATCTTTTCGTTTAGGCACTTCACGATACTCAACAATGTACGAGAGGCATTTAAGAGGCGAGCGCCTCATTTACTCGCCGTTTTTCACTCGAGGATTTGCAATCAGAAGCGGGATTGAGACCTAGAATTATTCCGCGTGTGGAGCGTATGAAGGATGTTTCAGAAATACACGGTGTAAACGTTATGATAGTCACTATTTAAATGGGTGATATATCATGTAACATAAAAAACCCACACTGCACTTTTTTTGTATTTAAAGAAGGTGCTCAAAATGTCGTCCTCCACTTTCCACACAAGCTTCATTACGACGAATCCAGTTTCTTCTTACTCTAGATCCTCGAAGTTGTCCATTTATTATTTCAGCCACATTAAAAATTTATTCGCGAAGTTGTGCTTCAGTTGTTATTGGACCAGCCCCATAAACCATCTCTTTAAGTTCTCCCCAATACCAGAAATCCATCGGATTAAGGTCAGGAGATCTTGCTGGCCATTTTCGAGGATCATGAGCATTTCGACCGATCCAGCGATTTAGATAATGTACATTCAAATACTGAATGACGCCTCTAAAAATGTGTGGTGCCCCGTCATGAAGAAACCACAAATTCTGTCTCCGTTGTAATGGCATGTTGTCTAAGGTCTGTTCCAAAAGTTCTGGTTGGTTATTGGCTAGAAAGCTAACGTATCCTTCTCCTGACAAGTTTGGGGGGGCCAATTACTTGATCGTCAAGAATTCCCGCCCAAAAATTTATTTTAACACGTTGCTGGAAATGACCTTCACGAATGCTACTACACTATGGTATGCGATAGTCCTACGCGGCGGCCTAATTCCCGAGTACTGATATCTGCATTGATTTCCACGATATTTAAAATTTGTTCCTCCTGCTCTACAACAACCCGTCTTTTACGAGTGCGAATGTTAGTGGGCTGAACACTTCCTCTATCTCAAAGCCTTTGGTACACTTGCACAAATGTCCTTCTGTCTGGGTGTAAATTTGAGCTGCAAGATTTGAATTCTGACGAGCTTCACCGTAAACTAACAACATGTCGGCGAACTCTTGATTCGAGAACATTGTAAATAAACACGACGACGTACGCGAACAAAAACAAAACAACATACTAACCACTGTTACCGTTTGCGATCGATTGCCGGTTCGATAAATTTGAATTCTGACGAGCTTTACCGTAAACTAACAACATGTCGGCGAACTCTTGATTCGAGAACATTGTAAATAAACACGACGACGTACGCGAACAAAAACAAAACAACATACTAACCACTGTTACCGTTTGCGATCGATTGCCGGTTCGATAAATTTGAATTCTGACGAGCTTCACCGTAAACTAACAACATGTCGGCGAACTCTTGATTCGAGAACATTGTTAATAAACACGACGACGTACGCGAACAAAAACAAAACAACATACTAACCACTGTTACCGTTTGCGATCGATTGCCGGTTCGATAAATTTGAATTCTGACGAGCTTCACCGTAAACTAACAACATGTCGGCGAACTCTTGATTCGAGAACATTGTAAATAAACACGGCGGCGTACGCGAACAAAAACGAAACAACATACTAACCACTGTTACCGTTTGCGATCGATTGCCGTTTCGATAAATTTGAATTCTGACGAGCCTCACCGTAAACTAACAACATGTCGGCGAACTCTTGATTCGAGAACATTGTAAATAAACACGACGACGTACGCGAACAAAAACAAAACAACATACTAACCACTGTTACCGTTTGCGATCGATTGCCGGTTCGATAAATTTGAATTCTGACGAGCTTCACCGTAAACTAACAACATGTCGGCGAACTCTTGATTCGAGAACATTGTAAATAAACACGACGACGTACGCGAACAAAAACAAAACAACATACTAACCACTGTTACCGTTTGCGATCGATTGCCGGTTCGATAAATTTGAATTCTGACGAGCTTCACCGTAAACTAACAACATGTCGGCGAACTCTTGATTCGAGAACATTGTAAATAAACACGACGGCGTACGCGAACAAAAACAAAACAACATACTAACCACTGTTACCGTTTGCGATCGATTGCCGGTTCGATAAATTTGAATTCTGACGAGTTTCACCGTAAACTAACAACATGTCGGCGAACTCTTGATTCGAGAACATTGTAAATAAACACGACGACGTACGCGAACAAAAACGAAACAACATACTAACCACTGTTACCGTTTGCGATCGATTGCCGGTTCGATAAATTTGAATTCTGACGAGCTTCACCGTAAACTAACAACATGTCGGCGAACTCTTGATTCGAGAACATTGTAAATAAACACGACGACGTACGCGAACAAAAACAAAACAACATACTAACCACTGTTACCGTTTGCGATCGATTGCCGGTTCGATAAATTTGAATTCTGACGAGCTTCACCGTAAACTAACAACTTGTCGGCGAACTCTTGATTCGAGAACATTGTAAATAAACACGGCGGCGTACGCGAACAAAAACAAAACAACATACTAACCACTGTTACCGTTTGCGATCGATTGCCGCTTCGATAAATTTGAATTCTGACGAGCTTCACCGTAAACTAACAACATGTCGGCGAACTCTTGATTCGAGAACATTGTAAATAAACACGACGACGTACGCGAACAAAAATAAAACAACATACTAACCAATGTTACCGTTTGCGATCGATTGCCGGTTCGATAAATTTGAATTCTGACGAGCTTCACCGTAAACTAACAACATGTCGGCGAACTCTTGATTCGAGAACATTGTAAATAAACACTACGACGTACGCGAACAAAAACAAAACAACATACTAACCACTGTTACCGTTTGCGATCGATTGCCGGTTCGATAAATTTGAATTCTGACGAGCTTCACCGTAAACTAACAACATGTCGGCGAACTCTTGATTCGAGAGCATTGTAAATAAACACGACGACGTACGCGAACAAAAACAAAACAACATACTAACCACTGTTACCGTTTGCGATCGATTGCCGGTTCGATAAATTTGAATTCTGACGAGCTTCACCGTAAACTAACAACATGTCGGCGAACTCTTGATTCGAGAACATTGTAAATAAACACGACGACGTACGCGAACAAAAACAAAACAACATACTAACCACTGTTACCGTTTGCGATCGATTGCCGGTTCGATAAATTTGAATTCTGACGAGCTTCACCGTAAACTAACAACATGTCGGCGAACTCTTGATTCGAGAACATTGTAAATAAACACGACGACGTACGCGAACAAAAACAAAACAACATACTAACCACTGTTACCGTTTGCGATCGATTGCCGGTTCGATAAATTTGAATTCTGACGAGCTTCACCGTAAACTAACAACATGTCGGCGAACTCTTGATTCGAGAACATTGTAAATAAACACGACGACGTACGCGAACAAAAACAAAACAACATACTAACCACTGTTACCGTTTGCGATCGATTGCCGGTTCGATAAATTTGAATTCTGACGAGCTTCACCGTAAACTAACAACATGTCGGCGAACTCTTGATTCGAGAACATTGTAAATAAACACGACGACGTACGCGAACAAAAACGAAACAACATACTAACCACTGTTACCGTTTGCGATCGATTGCCGGTTCGATAAGAGTGATGAATGACCGACGCGCTGTTGTCATGTGTGTTTTAAATAGTTAATTCAATGAAACTTACATGCTGACTACAAATTTTGGCTTAGCTTAGAAAAACTTAATGCCATTTATTTGTTAATTACCCAATTTAAAAACGTTTTAGATTGGATTATAAAAATTAGTACGATTGTGGTGACTGTGGTCGATATAAAGCACCTAAGGTTGTAAACTATAAAGCCATTTGGACAAAAATCTACTGACTACCATAACGTTTACACCCTGTATAGCTTGGTGCACTTAGATTGCAACATTTTTACTGGACTGCAACAGCTAACCGCAGATAAAGAGTGTGAGTATGTAAAGGATTAATTTTTGGCACAAGTTAGCCCAAGATACAGCGCTAGGAACCCTATTTTTGAAACAAGCTCCGTGCATACACGTGTAGACTCACCTTAATCCGCACCATCATATTCAAGTGCCCCTGGCTATATTGCTCAATAACGTCTCTCACGTCGTACGGTTTCCTAGCCTGCTGAAACTTCCTGCGGGCCACAAAATATTTAATCTTCCTGATGGCTCGAATAGCGTTTTTATGCGCCTCTGTTAGCCTGAAAAGGAAACACAACACTAAAGACGGAGAAAAGACGAAATAACGGACCCTAAGGATAGAAATACAGGGTTGCTTTATTGAGCATTTGAACTTTGTACCTATGAAGCTTGCCCTGCTAATTTAATTCAAACTGAAACCTTTATTTGATATAGCTTATGTTCGATTGCATGCTTTGGCCTTATTTATAAACGAACATATGTAGATCGATAGTCTGTTTCAGCACAGAGACTGGTCTAGGTGGGTCCCGGCCCACAAAACATGAGACGCGTCTATCTCGTCTAAGTAAATATCTCCCTCTCTCCCTATGTATCACCCAATTGTTGCAAAAACTTGGCCTTGAAGAAAACGATAGTATGCAGGCCAGTGCCGGAGAGGTGAAAGGTGGGTGGGCGCGGTGAGCCACTTTTCTTCCCTAAGTGCTCGCTTTCAACTCGTGGGTTTGGTCGGGAACCGGGGTACTACACCTGTTTTATTACGAGACGAGGTAGGAAAATAATTACATTGTCAAACGAACTTACCAGTAAGTGATGCTCGATCTTAATTGTGTGAGGGCTTTGTCGAAGTAAATAGCTCCCTCACTTCCTATGTATCACCCAATTGTTGAAAACAAGTTGGTTTTGAAGAAAATGAGAGTTTACAGGCCGGTAGCCGGAGAGGAGGAAGGTGGGAGGGCGCGATGAGCCACTTTTCTTCCTTAAGTGCTCGCTCTGAACTCGTGGGTTTGGCCGGGAAGCGGGGTACTATACCTGTTTCATTTACGAGACGAGGCCGGAACATAATTACACGATCAAACGTACTTACCTGTAAGTTATGCTCGATTTTAATTATGTGAAGGCCTCGTCGAAGTAAATAGCTCCCTCACTTCCTATGTATCACCCAATTGTTGCAAACAAGTTGGTTTTGAAGACAACGAGAGTTTGCAGGCCGGTAGCCGGAGAACAGGAAGGTGGGGGGGCGCGATGAGCCACTTTTCTTCCTTGAGTGCTCGCTCTGAACTCGTGGGTTTGGCCGGGTACCGGCGTACTACACCTGTTTTATTTACGAGACGAGGCCGGACGATAATTACATGATCAATCAAACTTACAGTAAGTGATGCTCGATATTAATTGTGTGAAGGCCTTGTCGAAGTAAATAGCTCCCTCGCTTCCTATGTATCACCCAATTGTTGCAAACAAGTTGGTTTTGAAGAAAACGAGAGTTTGCAGGCCAGGGGCCGGAGAGGAGGAAGGTGGGAGGGCGCGATGAGCCACTTTTCTTCCCTAAGTGCTCGCTCTGAACTCGTGGGTTTGGCCGGGAACCGGGGTACTACACCTGTTTTATTCACGAGACGAGGCCGGAACATAATTACATGGTCAAACGTACTTAGCAGTAAGTGATGCTCGATCTTAATTGTGTGAGGGCCTCGTCGAAGTAAACAGCTCCCTCACTTCCTATGTATCACCCAATTGTTGAAAACAAGTTGGTTTTGAAGAAAACGAGAGTTTGCAGGCCAAGGGCCGGAGAGGAGGAAGGTGTGAGGGCGCGATGAGCCACTTTTCTTCCTTAAGTGCTCGCTCTGAACTCGTGGGTTTGGCCGGGAAACGGGGTACTACACCTTTTCTATTTACGAGACGAGGCCGGGACATAATTATTATCTTAATTATTTGAAGGCCTCGTCGAAGTGAATAGCTCCCTCTCTCGCTATGTACCACAAAATTGTTGCAAAAACTTGGCTTTGAAGAAAATTAGAGTTTGTAGGCCAGGGGCCGGAGAGGAGGCGGTGAGCTGCTTTTCTTCCCTGCGTGTGCGCTCTGAACTCGTGCGTTTGGCAGGAAAATGGGGTACTACACCTGTTCTATTTACTGCGACGAGGCCTTCACATCACTTACAGTTAAGTTAGTTTGATCATGCAACTTCAACTCTGAATGCCTCGCAGGTTATGCCACTATCGGTCCAAGCAGCTCGAATTTATTTTTATCAGGAAAGTACTTTCAGCATTAACCAATCCCACCGGAAGTGACAGAACTTCGTATCCGGAACGCCGCTGTCCATTATCAACGGCTATAAAAAGATGCTCGAGTTGTAAAAATGGATATTGCAGAATTCTGTGTAATGGGGAGCGGTTATCGGACGTGCCAGCTTTTATTAGCGAATGAAAAATTTTTCGATTCTACTCACAATTTATGGTCGAAATAACTGGAAACATCTAGGGAATGATATTTTCGTTTATTACTAGCATTACGCTGCACCAGTCAAAATTAAATCTCCATGTTTTACTAGCATGCGCTTGGAAGCATAAAATTCAAAATCGTACACTCTAACTTATGTGGTTAAATAACGTAGTTCTGCATATTTTTTTTTGAAAAGCTGTTTCATATTGTTTGTTACGTACTAAATCTAAAAGTTCACTCCGTTTTGCCGTAGCACATCACGTTTTTTCACAAATTGATATCAATTGTATTACTCGTAAGAGATATAAGTAGTGCTTTTAAAAATACGTGATTTTAATAGTTTATTTTTCAGTACAAATGAGCTAGTGATTTAAACTGTTGCTTCTTTGCTGTGAGCAGTAGTCTGTTATCATTGTGGAGCTGCAGTTTCCTTTATATCTTTTTCCCTCGATGTCTTGATGTAGACGTTCCTCTTGCTCTTCACTCACTGCCCCTGAATTCTCAGGAAAATAGTCCACGTGGGATTTAAGAACATTTACCTTCAGTCTCATGAAACAACCCAATTCGTTCAAAGATTTTAGCATCCTTTTTATTATAATTTTATAATCAGGATGATTATTGTTGCTCAAAAATTCCTCCACAACATCTTCAAATACAAACCATCCTTCTCTCTGGAGATCTGTCATCGTCCTGATCCGCTAGGAGCTCGCTGATATCTGGCCCATCAAATGCGCCTTCTTTTAACTTCGCCTCCGAAAAACCTGGGAACTTTTTAATCAAGTATTTGAAGCATTCTCCCTCTTTTGGGAGAGATTGGACGGACTGTTTCGTAAGGCCTAGCGTTATATGAATTGGAGGAGAGATAACTTCTTCTGGTGGTTTCCTCGCAGAACATTGTAAGCATCTTTGAGTCCCAACTCTCTACCAACCAGTGATGTTTTCGATCTCGACTGTCCAGTAGGCATAACAAGGAGATTTGGCTCTTCCAATCACCGCGCATTTGCCAACCATGATCTTCATTTTTGAGTTTTTGAAGATTCATTTCCCAGTCCTCGTAGGCCTCTTTCACGAACACAGAATGTCCCACGGGAATAGAAGCATAGAAACCACCGTTATGAAGTAAAACTGCGTTCAAACAGACGTCATTGATTGGATTCATACTGGATTCTGAATTGAACCGTTAGATTTTCTTCTTTGGAAAAATAATTCGTTTCACTATCTCTGAACCAAGAAAAAGACACTCCAGGTAGTAATAAATTCTTATCATTGAGTCGTAATCCAAGCAACTCAGCAGCATCTTTGGGAAGATCCAAATCATTTATATCTTTTCCTGGGAGTAGAATTTTGGTCTAGTCAGAACTGGAATCCTGATCGTCTTGAGGTTGTACTTCACCTTCCTCCCAACGTAGCAGGGAGCTTTGGAACAGGTATTTCTGCATCATGAGGAGGAGGACGAATAGCTGATAGGAGATTTGGGTATGATATGGAATGGAGTTGAACCCTTTGACTTCACACGAGCAGAAGTAGCAGTTGTCACTGTAGTTCCCTTGCTCTCCCGGAAACTTATATTTTTAACCTTAAACCAAAACGGTCCTCCAGACATCTTTTGAAAACTCTATGATGGGCCCAAGCTTTGTCTTGATCACCAAGTTTTAGTCCAAAACATGCAAAATAAAATATGACCTTCAAACTGATTTGAAGGTCAAGATCGTTTTCTTAAATGGACTACACTTAAATTATGCCTATAACCTTGACTATTACCATCAATGTCATTTGAAATTCATCTATTTTCAATTCCTGAAGTGCAAGTTGTGGACAATTTTAAGTTCGACTTTATCCTTGTTGATGACGTTTTATTTTAGATCATGTTGGTACTTACTGTGTCACCCTGGGCAGCTCAGCGTCCAAGTCATCAATATCGTCACTGGCAGCCTCAGTGACAGTGCTGGTCTGACTTGTGAAGATGGCGCCTCTAGCACTCTCCCGTTCTCCTCGGCGAAATCTATTCGGAGTACCTAGATAAAAAATAAAAATCCCTAGGATCATGTTTAAAAAATCCAAATAGCGGAAAAAATTTCAAAATTTCAGCTGTAACGTCTTTTTCGGTACAAATAAATTTCAACTTTATACGCTTCTTCTAAAATGTTTAGAAAAGTTTATCCATTTAAAATTGTCAAAAGTTTTGAAAATTTTGTAAATATAGAAAATTTCGAAAATTTTGAAAATTTCGAAAATTTTGGTAATTTTGAAAATTTTGAAAATTCTGAAAATTATGAAAATTTTGAAAATTACCAAATTTTATAAATTTTGAAAATTTAGAAATTTGGAAAATTTAGAATATTTAGAAAATGTAGAAAATTTAGAAAATTCAGAAAATTTTGTCAATTTGGAAAATTTTCCAAAATTCGAAGATTTTGAAATTCTTGATAATTTCGAAAGTTTTGAAAATTTCGAAAATTTTGGTAATTTTGAAAATTTTGAAAATTCTGAAAATTGTGAAAATTTTGAAAATTACCAAAATTTAGAAAATTTAGAAAATTTTGAAAATTTAGAAAATTTAGAAAATTTAGAAAACTTAGAAAACTTAGAAAATTTAGAAAATTTAGAAATTAGAAATTTAGAAAATTTAGAAAATTTAGAAAATTTAGAAATTAGAAAATTTAGAAAATTTAGAAAATTTAGAAATTTAGAAACTTTAGAAATTTAGAAAATTTAGAAAATTTAGAAACTTTAGAAAATTTAGAAATTTAGAAAATTAGAAAATTTAGAACATTAGAAAAATTAGAAAATTTAGAAAATTTAGAAAATTTAGAAATTTTGAAAATTTAGAAAATATAGAAAATTGAAATTTGAAAATTTAGAAATATTTAAATATTAGAAATTTAGAAAATTTAGAAAATTCAGAAAATTTTGTTAATTTGGAAAATTTTCCAAAATTCGAAGATTTTGAAATTTTTGAAAATATTGTGTATATAAAAAATACAGAAATCCCGTAAATTTTAATATTCTGAATTTTTTGGAGGAACCCTTTTTCGTTATCTATGAAATACTTGAATATTTGGAATCACTGCAGTTGGAAGTTGCTAAATGTACTACCGCTAAGAAATTACGATACATACCTATAATATCCCCCCAAACCTTTTTAAAATAAACAGGATCCTCTGGAACATCAAAAAACGAACTAGGACCGATTTTTATTTCTTGTTTTTAGCATTTTCCTCTGTCGCCACTGGAACGATTTTCAAAAACTACAAAGCTTTTCCGTCATTGGAAGGAATAGAAGTAACCTTGTGTGAAAGCGTTAGTCGTGTGGAAGTTGAAATTCACAGGTCAGGAGAAATTCCTTAGCCTACCTGCTTTGGGTTCCTCCATATAGAAAACGACATCCGTATCGGACAGCGCCCGGTTAGGCTGGGTGGTTCCAGCTGCTCCCACTCCCGGCGCGTCTCCGCTCGGCGTCTCAGTACCGGGGGTATTAGCTTCCGTTCTGGAAGCCGCCGCGGCAGGGTCCATCCGGTTCCGGGACTTCCTCCTTTTCAACACCGAAGCCTTCTTGGCGACCTGCAATATCAGGGACTGCCGACCCGACACAGTAGATACACGTATAACACCGATTTTACATCCATATGTTCTGCAATGCTATAACTAAGCCTAGCCTAAAGGTTGCTATGCGCTAACGGCGTGCGACTAAAATTTTAAAAAACACGATTTTAACAATTTTAAAGGTATTGAAATCTTGCAACTATAGAAAATTTTAGAAATACCGGAAATATTGAAAATATACTAAGTGACATATAAATCCGAACACCCAGTTTAAATGGTTTTATTTTAATAAAATTTTGTATAAGTACTTAATGAAGCATAATAAGTAAATGATAAAAATTTCAAAATGATTGCACTGCTTTAAAGCCCTTTGACCTTTAATAATGTGTGGATGCACCCTGATGTGCTACGCATTCTCCAACGCGCCTAGGCATGCTTCTGATCAGGTGGTTAATGTCCTCCTGTGGTATCTCATTCCAGGCAACCACCAACTCCTCTCGAAGTGCTTCTGGAGTCTGAGGAGGACGTTGCAAATTGAGCAATCTCCTACCCATCATATCCATACGTGCTCAATTGGGGATAAGTCGGGAGATCTTGGTGGCCATGGTAACAATGTGACATCATTATGTTGAAAGAAGTCTATTGTGACTCTTGCAACATGTGGTCGGGCATTATCTTGTTGGAAAGTTGGATCTGCCAGGGTGTCAAGATAGGGTAAAAGATGGGGTTCTAGAACTTCGTGGATATAACGCTGCGCGTTCATGTTACCTCTGATGAAGATTAAATGTGACCTGGAACCATAAGCTATAGCACCCCAAACCATAACTCCAACAGTGTGATGAACATGTCTTTCAACAAAAAACTGTGGATTCCTGCTTTCACCACGTCGCCTTCTAACGCTGGCACGACCATCGTGCATGCCTAAACAAAATCGAGACTCGTCACTAAAGACAATACTGTTCCATTCCTGATCCCATAGTGACCGTTGTCTGCACCACTCAAGGCGATTACGTCGGTGTTCTCGAGTTAAAGGGAGGACCCAGTGTGGCCGGTATGAAAACAAGCCAAAACTTCTCATTCGTCGGTAAACTCTTCGCACGCCAATAGGTCTTCCGTGTTCTGCAAACCATTCATTTGCAATGGACCTGGTAGTGGAGAAACGGTCCCTTAAGGCCAATAATCTTAGGCGGCGATCTTCACGGTCTGTTGTTCTACGGCGGCGTCCAGTGCCCCTTGCTCTTTGTGTACGGCCTTCTCTAAGCCATGCCTGACACCACCTAATCACAGTGTCTACACTTCTTTGCACTCTAACTGCAATTGCCCGAAAAGAAAGTTCAGCTTCCCGAAGTCCCACTATACGGCCCCTATCAAACTCACTAAGTTGACGAAATCGTACAGGTCTCCGTACTCTAGGCATCGTAACCGATCGTAAAGGATGTCAAGAACCAAAATCCGCCAACGTTGGCTGAAATATTCATTTTTAGAGCGTTAGTGAATTAATAAAAGCAGTATAAAAACAGGAATGTCCAACTGATAAGGCTGAAAATGTTTTCACTTATTATTTACAGTAAGATAAATACATTCACCAACTTTTATTAAAATAAAACCATTTAAACAGGGTGTTCGGATTTATATGTCACTTAGTATATATCCCAAACGCAAAATAGACAGAATATACAGAAAAAATGATGGTTCTGGATTCAGACGGGTAAGTAAATTTGTGGTTGATGACATTACTGCTGTTATAGATGTAGTTTATGTCTCTTTTACGTAGAAAAACTATTTTTTTTTGTCAGTTGCATAATACCACTAGACAATAATTTCAAACCGTTCAGATCGCAAATAACTTCCGTACGTGTGAATAATAAATAATTTTGAGATAAGTGGCTATGCCCTTCTCGACCAAACATGTCCAACTGATAAGGCTAAAAATTTTTTCACTTGTTATTTACAGTAAGATAAATACATTCACCAACTTTTATTAAAATACAACCATTTAAAGTGGGTGTTCGGATTTATATGTCACTTAGTATATTCAAAATCAGGAAATCTTGAGAATAATGGAAATTTTGAATAATCTGAAAATTTTGATATTCTGGTAAATCTAGAATCGACTTTTAAAAGTTTTATAATTTCGAATAATTTGAAAATATTGAAAATATTTGAGATTTGAAAATTTTGGAAACACTGAAAATTTTTAAAACACTGGAAAAATTGAAATTACGGGAATTCTAAAAAATTTAGATTTTGGAAATTTTGAAATATGTATTAGACAATCTTGAATATCGTCGGGAATTTAAAAATTTCGAAGATTTTGAAAACTTTGAACAATTTGAAAATATTGGGAATATTCAAGAATCTTGAATATCGTAAATTTTTTGAAAATCTTGAAAATTTTCGAAATTTAAAAAATGGCAAAAAACTTTAAAAACACTGAAAATTTTGAAAATTATGGGAATTCCAAAAATTATTATTTTGAAAATTGTGAAATCTTTTCAAGATTTCAAACGATTTGAAAATATTAAGAATTTTTTAAAGTTTGATAATTTCGAGAAAGATTTTGAAAATTGTTGAAACTTTGAAAACAATTAAAATTTTGAAAAGTATGGAAATTACAAAAAATTTGAAAGTTCAGAAAATTTTGATAGAATTGAAAAAGGCAATTATAAAAATTTTGAGAAAATTATAAATGTAAAAAATTTAGTAAATCTTTAAAATCTTCCGAATTTTGAAACTTTTTGATATCCACGGATATTTTAAATTTTTGAGGCATGAATTCCTGTACGCTTTCATAATTCTGTTATTCTTGAGATTTCTAAAAAAAATTAAAGAATAAAATTTTGGAATAGAAAGCTTTAGATTTGCCGGAAATAATGAAAATTTTCATAATTTTAAAAATATTGGACATTTTGAAATACTTTGGATACGTTACCAAGTTATTTAAAATTTTGAAAATCACGATGAGTTTAAAAATCTTGGAAATTTTTAAAATTTTGAATCTTCTGAAAACTTTGATGATGTTACAAATTTTGAAAATATTAGGTACTAAAAAATTCAGTAAATCTTAGATACATGAAAAAACTTTTGTTTTGTTATTCAGTGCTTGAATATTTGAAATTTTTGAGATTCATGAAACTCCTGAAATCCTGCAAATTTTTATGATCCTGAAATTTTTAAGCAGTTTGTTATTCCTAAGAATTCTGAAAAGTTTGGAATTTATGAAATGCATGAAATATTAGATGTATTTTTTTGAAATATTTGAACTGTTTGCGGCTTAGAAAATTGCTATTTTTTTGAATATTTGGCAATTTTAGTATTTTCGGAATTTATAAAATTCTTGAAAATCAATGAAATATTTGAGATCTCTGTAAATTTCAAGGTCTAGGATTTCACATTTCGTGAATTTCTTAAAATGCAATTTTTGGAATTTCTGAAAATATTATTATACGTATTTTGATTTGATTCAAATCTTTGTTTGTTTTGGTTTTTCTAAGATAGTTGTAATGCTTGAGATTTTGGAATTTCTTGAAATGCTCGTAATATTTGGAATACTTAAAATCCTTGGAAATTTTTTGAAATATTTGATAATTTTGAAAGGTTTGAAAACCCTAGTAGTAGAAACGAGAATCATGTCTATATAATCTTCAGTGGTCTGTGAGGATCCCA